AACAGCACCTCTCACCTGACATTAGACCATTAAAAGTGATGCTTCGTCTTGTAGTGTAAATAACAAGGACACACAGGACACTCTAAATAATGAGGTGAATCTCATCTCGTATCATTCGTTCGCTGGTTCGGTTTGTGGTGTCATGCTCAGTTTGTTGGGTTCCATAGTAGCAGATTTTTGTTCATGTCTGACATGAACAGAAATTGTGTGTCCCAAGTAATTTGTCAAACACCCTGTTATGTTCCAGGTTCATCTCATGAAAATGTAAGTACAATCTGTGTTCTGTTCGAAGGGTGAAATTAATTATGTCGTGCCTTGATCAACTCATGTGTTTCTTCTTGCTCATAATTAACTAAAAGTCTCTACGTTCTGCCTCAGATGCTGCAGATTTTACACATGCCAAAAAGTGGTTAAAACAGGTTAAAGAATGAGAATAGTGTGCAATATTTGCTGACTGTACAATTGTCAATCATTTTTTTCATTAAATTTATTATTATGTTTATTACATTACAGTGCATGCAGATTAAGTAGTCAGCCATCATCATCATCACAAAATAAACCCTGACAAATGAATAACTACATGGAAAACTGATTTAAATGGAAATTATTTAAGAATTCGTATCAGTTACTTAATATTCAATACAAGTAATAACTGTGGCACGAATTGGGTTGAAATGAGAGATTGATCTACAGTGTGATAAAATAGCGTCTGTTTATTGAGAACAGTGGATAGAAATAAATTGAAACATCCTAATTTACACAACCCAAAACATATACCCCCAGTTTTACAGACTTTAAGACTAAAGTGCATTTTTGAGCTGTTTTAATTGAAAGAAACTTGCAGTGATGTACAGTATCTTAAAGGAATACTCCACTTTTTTTTTTTGAAAATAGGCTCATTTTACTACTCCCCTAGAGTTAAACAGTTGGGTTTTACTATTTTTGAATGTATTCAGCCATTTTTTTATATTTAGAAGAATGGAAGTCAATGAGACTAGAAACTGTCAGGTTACTGATATTCTTCTAAATATCAGAAAATCGGCTGAATGGATTTGAAAACGGTAAAACCCAACTGTTTAACTCTGGGAGAGTGGTAAAATAAGCCTATTTCCAAAAAAAAAAAAAAAGTGGTGTATCCATTTAAAACATGTCAGTGGCGTGCCATTGTTTTGTCTTAAGATGCAGTAACGTTTTTTTTTTTTTTTTTTTTTTGTTCTCTAAGGCTTGTTTATAAAATAACTTAAATGCCCTAAATTAACTAAGGCCTTATCCTGTCTTAATCTGAGGTCTGTCTGTGAAATCAGGTCATAGAATCAGTGAATATGTTAAGTTATTAGGCCTACTTGTTACTCTCCAACACTGTTTTTGTCTGTACTGTTGTTGCATTGTTGCTCTAAGTACATATAGGCTCCAACATGGCTGTTGGATCATGATTCTTGTCAGCTGTCTGTGGATTTTTTTTCCCCCAAAAATCCAAGTGCTATTTAATGGTAGGACATTTGCGTTTTTGTGTTCCACTGCTCAGTGTTTTTCTGTGTAAACAATAACATACGCTTGATGAACGTCTTTGACATTTCACTACATCTGGCTGCTCGTTCTGCGACTCGTGCGTGAGCTTTGTTTTCATCTAAAATAACAAATTTTTTACATGTAGCACAGCTCATCTGTCAGTTTCAAAACATTGGGCCATTCCGATTTGATTTTAAATGCAAAAACAGTTCTGTCACGGTCCTTAGCAGAAATAAGGCATGACTGATGGCAAGTGTAAGTTGTGTTAAATATAAAATAGACAAGACAAAGTTCTTTGGTCTGCACAGGTTTACACGCAGTGTGTTGCTGCTTACATTTTTACAAAACAGAAAGAGGATAGCAATTCTTCATTTCTGGCACATCATAATCAGTTTAATTTGTGGGCACTGGGTATTATTTTGAAAGCCGTATAAATGCGACTCCGAATGATAAGGCCATACCGCACGCATTTTCCCACAGTGGGTTCTTCTGTCATTATGGAGGAACTGTCTTTGTTTGGTTGTATCAATTATTTCCAGTAGTTCCTTTTCAGCTCTGTGGTGGTCTATTGTTTGACTCAGACGGTGTCTTAAGCAAGAGGGAGATACTCATACATTTTGCATACTAAGAGACTTGATTGTTGATATATTCTTTCTCTCGCTTTCTGTTTTCCCTTATTCTCAATCTTTATTATTCAAAAGCATTTCATTAATGAATTCTCATTAATACCTCTATTATCAGGGCCATTGTGCACCTTTGATTTTAGACCCAACATTCAGAATATAACAGAATTGCTTTCTGAAAGAATGGTCTTGGAAAGCTAATTATAGAAATGCAGGGTATCTATCTGTTTATCTGTCTTTCTGTCTGTAAGTGTGCTTTTTGTGTTGCTTGTATCAATTAATTGTTTAGATAAGTGTGCATAAATACATTTATTTTCAGTATAGTGTCAATTCACTAAAGGTAAAGGGATCAGCTGATTTAAAGGTCACCTATTATGCTCCTTTTCACAAAATGTAAAATAAGTCTCTGATGTCCCCAGAGTGAGTGAAGTTTTAGCTCAAAATACAGATAAGTTTTTACAGCATGTATAAATTGTCATTTTTTGGGGCTGAGCAAAGCGCACCCTTTTAGTGTGTATCCCTTTAAATGCAAATGAGCTGCTGCTGTCGGTCCAGAGGGCGGTGCTTCACAAACTTGCGCTCTGTCAGGGCAATCTTATCTCACAGAATGATAATATCAGAACAGAAACTCTCACAATTTCGAGTCCGACAATAATGCCTAGAGTCAGAGAATAAAAGTTCTATGGAAATAGAATAGGTATATTTTATTTAAAGGGGGGATGAACTGAGAAATCAAATTTTCCTTGAGCTTTCGACATCTAAGAGGTCATCATATTATACGAATATCCTGTAAGTTTCAGAACTAAAAACTGAAAAATAACACAAAAAATCTGCTCTTCCCCTACGATTCTACAAAAGCAAGCAATGAAGGTGAAATAGAGATCCCCTAAATTAGTGAAGTCCATGCTAAACAAAATGATTTAAAATTCTGTAAAATTTAATGTGGAAACCTTTGCTTTACTCTAATTTTTGCTCTATTTTTTCATTTTATTAGCACTTTTTGGGAAACCAAGGTAGACACTTAATGAAAACTCCTCCAAAAGACTCATTCTCACCAGTCATTCCTTCACTTTTGATCATACTGGTAAACAAATGATACCTATACCGCCTAATGAGGAGCAATTTTTGTCTAATAGCATATTACATTTCCCTGATATCACATCCCTTTATCACAACTAGCTGTAAGATACAGTGGGGTTGTAGTTTTACCAAAATGGTGCTTGATTGGTGAACTGCTCTGAAAACAACCTGGTATTTATGCTTGCTGAACGTTGATTTAACTGACTGCATAATCTGCCCACAAATTTACATAGCACATCATTGTATTTGAGGCGTATGAGTCTCTGATTATGGGTCTTTATGCAATCACAAGCTGTTTTACTGCAAGTCGGAAGTTACAATAGATACAATTATTGGTAAGCCTGAGCAATCCCTATGCTCCTGATTTGACCAGGTCCTAGTTTGAGACCAGCAGTTTTAGGGATTGATATGGATTTTTTTTTTTTAAGATTCAGAATGGTTTAAGATTAACACTGTCTGTGGTATCAGTAAATCTAATATGATTTTCAGTGTCAAGACAAATAATTGTTCCTCATTAGGTGATTTTAAAGGGTTAGTTCACCAAAATCAATTACTCTTTCTAAATCCATTAGACATTCATCCATCTTCAGAAAACAATTTAGATACTTTTACAACAAGATATTTTTTAATAAAATTTGACAGATACAAATGTACTTGTTTGGCGTATGAGAACCAATAAGGTTTGTTTTCTCGCATCAAGTATGGTTGAGCTTACCAAACCTTTTACAATAAGTGATTTATGTATGTTTGCTGATAAATGTTTATATGTGAATAAAGCCTAAATTAAGTATGTCGTCATATAAATTGATTGTTTCTCTTCAGAAAACTTGGCTTAAACCACCAATCATGGATTTATTTTTACACTCTCTTCATGAACTGTTTTGAACTGTTAGTGTTTTGGGGGAATAGACTTTCAATGGAGGGAGATAAATCTTTAATTTAATTAAACGTATCTTAATTTTTGAAGAATGATAGTCTTAAGGGGTTGGAACAAAAGAGTGAGTAATTGATGACATTCAATTAAAATTTATGCTTTTGATAAAACTTAGCTGTCTGTGCGGTATAAGATTTTATATATTCATACTATAACATATTACTGACATTGTAACAAGAGCTGGTTACAAAAATCTGCAAATATACTTTAGGTATAATTTCATTTAGATAAAAAGAGGATAATCTATTGATGGATATTTAGCCTGGTACCTTGTAAAACACTTCGAAATGATAAAATTGTGCACCCTGGCACCTGATAATTGTGTAGAAGCCAGCCATTCATATTGAAACGGGATTTTGTCAGATAATGCCATTTATGCATGTATGCATCCACTTCATGCGTTTTCTGTGATTGTGAAACGACCAGGTGTAAATGCCCTCCGAAACGCATTCGAAACAGAATTGATTTTTCCATCACAGTGACTTCAAGAGTTACATCGCTGCTTTTAGTGGTCTGTTGGAACAACAGACATGTTTAGTTCATCTTTCAAACTGCTCTGAGACACTGTAGCCGTTGACTCCTTCTGTAGCTTTAGCGGTTTTACGATGAATTCCAACAGAAGCCTGTCACATTTTTTTTTTCTAAGCTTTGGATGGAGCAAGTTATTTCAGATGTGTTGAAGTGTTGAGCCAGTGGCAGCTATAATTACACTTACAATGTTTTTTTTACAGATAAAAGATGAATTATTCATTTGTTGACGCGAATGTCTCAATACAGATAAGAGAGTGGTAATTCAGACTTTGATTCTTCTCGGGATCAAATAGGTCTAACTATGTTTGTTTGTGTGCCCGCAGGTCAGAGGCAGTATGAACCAGACTGATGTTCTGTCTCCATGCCAACTGAAGCTTCAGGTCGAGGTACACCTAAACTCTCCTGTCAGAAGGTGACCTCTCTGCCCCAATCCAATCTCTACAGGGTGAGTGACCAGATTTTTGCACACACACAGTGACAGCACTGTTGAAATGCATTATTTTTGTGTTCCCTTCTTTATTTATAAGCAAAATTTTTCCTGCTTAAGTTTATTCTGCTGTTATGAAATTGGCGAATATATGAGATTTTTCAAATGGTGGAGCAATGAATTTGATGGCGAATCATGAAGAAAACTCATTCTGATGCCTGTTTGAGTTCAGATGACACACTTTGTGCTGATTATTACAGAAAGGCCATTAAATGTCATACAAGTTCGATTAAAGGAAATGTCAGAGAAAGAGACTTTTTGTAGAATAATTAAATTTTCATGTTTTTTAAGCCTCTCTTTGAGTCATCCAGTGTTTCTGTCCATGTATATTTATGTAGAGAAATGCATTGTTTTGTCATATTTACTCGTAATAAGTCCTTTTGTCATAAACTGAGCAATATATATATATATATATATATATAATATATATATATATATATATATATATATATATATATATATATATATATAAAGGATTAATGTGTTTGAAAAAAAGTCTGTTGTATCAAAACTATTATCCCAGTCTTCAGTGTCCCATTATTCTTCAGCAGTAATTTTTTAATATGCTGATTCGGTGCGATGTTCATAAAAATGTTCTTATTATAAATGTTGAAAACAGTTGTGCAGCTTAATTTTTTTATTTTGAATTCGTGATACATTTGATATGATTCGTGATGCATTCAGAATTCTTTGATAAATAGAAAGTTCAAAAGAAAAGCATTTATTTGAAATAGAAATCTTTTGTAACGTTTTCACCTCATTATACTGTAAATGTTTTGCTATAATTTTTTCATCAATTTAAAGCATCCTTGCTGAATGAAAGCACCAATTCCTTTAAAGTAACACACAAGTAACACAATCTTTAAATGGATCAGAAAAGGAGTTTGTTTTGAAGCTTAATTTGTTTGCACTTCTGCATGGTTTGATGTTTTGTTATAAAATGCAATACATTCATGCATTTGTAGGCATAACTAAAGTGTCCAAATACTTTTTGAGGCCACTGTTGCCTTTCTTTGAATCTCTACCTGGTTCTAATATGTTCATGAAAAGCATACGGTAACATTAATGTGTAATTGTATTCAAATCCACTGTACACTTTCAGAACAAAAAGGTATAAAAGCTGTCACTGTACCTTTTCAAAAGAAAATATTATGTACCATTTAGGTACTAATATACACTGTAGGCTTTAAGCTACTAATATTCACCCTTTAGGGCCCAATAAGGTACAAATGTGTACCTTTTGAAAGGGTACTGCCCCAGTGACAGCTCTCTCTCTCTCATGTCTGTCTCTCTCTCTGTCTTTCTGGGTGGGTGTGCTGTTTAGCAGCTTGACACTGAAATCTTTGGTGCTTAATTATGGTCCTGTCACACCGGGAGAATGAAACATTTCGATCTCTCCCCGCGTAATCATTGAACATGAACATCAAAATCGACCCATCATTAATACTGTACCCTCTGAGGTGCATGACTTTACAGAGTGACGTGTGTGTTGGATGACAGAAATAGCTGAGATTTATGATGGATATGGACAGCTCATCAATTAAATACACTCACCTAAAGAATTATTAGGAACACCATACTAATACCGTGTTTGACCCCATTTTGCCTTCAGAACTGCCTTAATTCTACATGGCATTGATTTAACAAGGTGCTGAAAGCATTCTTTAGAAATGTTGGCCCATATTAGTAGGACAGCATCTTGCAGTTGATGGAGATTTGTGGGATTCACATCCAGGGCACGAAGCTCCCGTTCCACCACATCCCAAAGATGCTCTATTGGGTTGAGATCTGGTGACTGTGGGGGGCATTTTAGTGCAGTGAACTCATTGTCATGTTTAAGAAACCAATTTGAAATGATTCCAGCTTTGTGACATGGTGCATTATCCAGCCATCAGAGAATGGATACATGGTGGCCATAAAGGAATGGACATGGTCAGAAACAATGCTCAGGTAGGCTGTGGCATTTAAACAATGCCCAATTGGCACTAAGAGATCTAAAGTGTGCCAAGAAAACATCCCCCACACCATTACACCACCACCACCAGCCTGCACAGTGGTAACAAGGCATGATGAATCCATGTTCTCATTCTGTCACTCTTACCATCTGCATGTCTAAACGGAAATCGAGACTCATCAGTCCAGGCAACATTTTTCCAGTCTTCAACTGTCCAATTTTGGTGAGCTCTTGCAAATTGTAGCATCTTTTTCCTATTTGTAGTGGAGATGAGTGGTACCCGGTGGGGTCTTCTGCTGTTGTAGCCCATCCGCCTCGAGGTTGTGCGTGTTGTGGCTTCACAAATGCTTTGCTGCATACCTCGGTTGTAACGAGTGGTTATTTCAGTCAAAGTTGCTCTTCTAGCTTAAATCAGTCGGCTCATTCTCCTCTGACCTCTAGCATCAACATTTTCGCCCACAGGACTGCCACACACTGGATGTTTTTCCCTTTTCACATCATTCTTTGTAAACCCTAGAAATGGTTGTGCGTGAACATCCCAGTAACAGGGATTTGTGCTGTGATTGGTCAACCGCTTTGAGTGTGTTTATGTCTCACTTCTTACCATGACTGCAAGTTTCAACACACTACTAATGCTACTCAACCATGCTTCACCATTTTGCTTTGCATATGCCTTATAGGAATTATTTAAATTAGGAATATTGTGACCTGTGCATTCTCAGAAGACAACTCAAGACTACAATGGAGGTGTTTCAGGGAGTTCAGAAACATTGCTTACTAATATAGAGAATAACTCCCTTTGGAGTGGACTTTGTGCTTTGTATCTTTGCAGACCCTTTTCATGGTTAACCAGCAACATTACACTCAAAAGAAAGTTAAAAATGTAAAAAAGCATAACAGGACGGACCCCTTTAAAAAAGTATAACATTCAAAATGTCAGAGAATTGCAGGCTTGGATTTAAACTGTGTTTCTTTATCTTTTTTTCAGTTGATGTGTGTTGGACATACTCGGATAAAAAAAAAAAATATTTACGTGATGCACTCAAACATTAAATCAGGGCTCTATAAAAACAGTAACTGAGGCCAAAATGGTGTCACATCCTGCCAAATTATCGCCTTTTTCTTGTCCTGCTAGGGGAGAATTAGATGGTATTAGAGTGAAATTTTGTTGATATTTTGTGGTTGGTTAGTCTGGATGAAAGGACACTCATTGACATTGTAGGCAGCTTCCTGTTTTTTTTTTTTTTTCTCAATCAGCTTTTAGATGTTTGCACCACATGATTAGGGCATGAACTAACTGGACACTTTTTCAACATCTCTAATCCTCCTCTGGTGACCCATTGAAAGGATCAGTCTGATTATTCTGCTCATATTGGTTAGATCCAAATCATTTTTTGAGAGGCTGTGTTATGTACACATTTGATTTGGATAATTTGCTTATTTATGAACTTGAATGACCAGCACAGTCTGTGTATATTCACAGACAAATCAGGGGTCTGTCAAAATGCATTCAGTGTAGTGTCACCCAAGCAGAAATGACATGCGAACAATGCAGAATATGAATTTATTTATAAGCAATGAAGTCAGTAAGGTTCTGTAGAAACTAGCCAGGCTCTGCTTTTGTTGTCTATTGTTTTTTAGGTAGGGCAGAGCAATATATATATATATATATATATATATAAATTAAAATTAAGTCCTGCTCACAGGGATGAGTTATAAAGCCGTATCGCCTGAGGGACAAAAGACTTCCTCAGTCTGTCGGTGGAGCCGGACAAAGAGAGCATCCTGTCGCTGAAGGTGCTCTTCTGTCTAACAATGATATTGTGCAGTGGGTGAAAGGCATTTTCCGGGATAGAAGAAAATTTACTAAGGGTCCTCTTCTCTGCCACGGATGTTAAAGAGTGAAGGAAAACATCTTCTTGCTAGTCCAAAATACCCCAAAGTGGCTCAAAAATATTTAGATGGTCCTCCACATATATCCACATGGTCCTCCAGAATGGTTGGGTAGTTTTTGGCAGTGATGCGCCAATCAAGCACAGTAGGGAATACCATGATATTTCAGCCCAAATCACTGATCCTCCTCTGTGCTTCATACTGGGCACACAACAGTTGGGGTGCTAAGCTTCTTTGGGGCTTCTCCACACCGTAACTTCACACAGCATATCAGAATGATTTCAGAAGGATCTTGCGACACTGAAGACTGAAAATGCAGCTTTGGCATCACAGAAATAAATGTCATTTTAAAATATCTAAAAATTGAAAACAGTTACTTTCTGATTCTTCAACCTCTCTTTGAGTGTCTCTCCTCAACTGTGTCTCATAGTGTACATTATCCATGCTAAGACATGGTCTGAGCTTTCTGCAAAATTGCCACTAACTGACGTGTATCAGGTTTTCTTTAGGATTAAGGTTTTAGGACAGAACACCATTTGAGTGTGATGTAAGTTAGGTCTCATTTGCCTCCAGTTACTGATAGTACAGAACAAAATTAAGAAAAAAACATACCCAGCATTGCTCTTCATATCTGAAAAGAAGCTCTACCACCTGAGCATGCTCTCATTTGATATACACAGGCCTCCCCCACGCCTGTCTGGGTTCCCCAGGTGTGTGTGTGTGTGTGTGTGGGGTCCATCCTCTATCAGGGATTAATTAACTCTCAGAAAGGGGAAGACTGGAGGGAGGTTGAGAGTGTTCAATGCAGAGACGGAAAAACGGATTGCAAGAAGTGAAATGGAGTAAAAAAGAAAGAGGCCGGTGAGCCATGATGGGTGAGAGTCTGTGATGGGATTTAATTGCCTGCTTGTACAGGCTGCAGGGTATTGTACCTGCCTGTCACACTAACACACTCACTGTAGAGTAAAGTTTAAGTGTGTGAGGGTGCACATTTGAGCATGCAAACTGCAAACTGACACATGGAAGTCAAGTCAACTTAATGGGATAGTTCATCCAAAAATGAAAATTCACCCTCATGTTGTTCCAGGCAATTGGTTGATGAAACATTGAA